GTCTTGCCCAGCCAGGCAGAAGTGTGTGCAGCTCCTAACAAACACCTGAAGCACCTGCCTCGTGCTGGCCTCGTGCTGGCCTCATGCTGCGGTGAGGGCGGCGGGAGCTGGGACCCGATCTTCGCGAGGTCACACCCGCGCCTCTCTAAAGACTGCGCAAAGTCTGCAGGTGCAGCACTGTTTTCTATTTTCTCAGCCTGGCACATTTAGAAGAAACGCCGCTTACTGTTCCTTTACTCGGAACTTACGATGCTGAGTTTAACGTGAGCCTCTGCGCTTCTCAGGACAGATCATTTTCAAGCCCCTTTGTGGCTTGTAGGATTTGAGTTCTGGGAGGGCTGCAGCGGGCACCCATCTCTCAGCCACTGGTGCCTGCACAGCCCGAGGCCAACAGCCTTTGCCAGAGTCCTCCAGGGAGGAACCCTTGGCCTTAGGACAGCCCGTTCCAACGCTCTTCCTCTCTTTCCGTTAACGAGCCCAACTCCATCTCCCACTGGTCCTGGATGGTCCCCCAAGTGACACAGACACCCCTCTTTCCTCAGCTCCCAGCGACGCTCTTCCAGCCCTCAGCACAGCCGTCTCGCCCTCTCGGCTGGCCTGTACAAGCCCCACCACGTCTCACCCACGCCGGCCTTCCTTTGCCTCTTCGCGCCTCCAGAGCTTTGGGGCTCTGACCCCTCTGCCCCCGATGGCGTCCCATCACCAGCATCCTTCTCCCATGGACGGGTTTGGTCTCCGTCCGGCTCAGGCCTGGCCCCTCCTGCTTGTGCTCACTCACTCCCTGATGGCCTTACCAAGCCCCACACTTCAACGCCACCCACCCGGAGCTGACAGCCGAGAGTCGCCTGCCCTGACTGTGCCTGTTCCTCATTCAGCTGATGTCTGACAGCAGGCCAAGCCCCTCTGCAGCAATCCCCTCCCTGGGCCGGCGCTCAGTGCTCAGGTCAGAGAAGCCCTGAACGGGTCTCTGTATGTCCTGCTTCCGCTTAGGAAAAAGCTTGTCTCTTCCTTTAGAACATGCTAGAGCCTGCACTCCCACCACCTCCACAGCCCCCACCCCGGCCCCACCCAGCCTGGGTCTGTCCCCTCCCACAGGAGCAGCCCCCTCTTGGATTCACTTCTCCCCTTTCATGATCTCCATACAGCACCCTGAGCAAGATTTAAAACATAAGTCTGATGATGTCACTCCTCTGCTGACAGCCTTCTAATAGCTGCCCATGTCACTCAGCATAAAAGCCCGCGTCCCCGCAGTGACCCTCCAGGCCCTGGCTCTTCTCCTGCTCATCTCCAGATGCTGCCACTCTAAACAGTCAGAGTGGAATTTGCTGATCAGCCAGGAGTTTGGGGGAGTACCCAAAGGGATCTTGTCTTAGCAGGACCGAACTATCCCTGGGGCAAAGGCCCTCTAGAACCATTCATGCAAAGCTTAAACGTAGGGCTCAAAGGCATCAGACTGATTTGCAAGTAACTTAACCGCTTGCCAAGGCAAAGCCCAATACTCTAACTGGGAGAAACAAAATCAGATGATGAACAAGCATGCATTCACTACGATTAGCCTTCCATCAACATTTACTAGATTTGTGAGAATCAGAAAAATATGACCCATAGCCAGGAGAATAATCAACCAACAGAGACAGACTTGGACATGGCGGAGAGGAGGAAACCAGCAGATAGCGGCATGAAACAGAAGTATAATGAGGCATCAGCGTTTAAAGGACATATATCCACAATGAGGCATAAATGGAAGATCTGAAAATGGGACACGAAAAAGGAGGAAGATGAAATTCCTTAGGGATGAAGAATGCAATATCTGAAATGAAAATTTCACTGAACGAGATTAACAGCAGATTAGATACTGCAGGAGGGAAGACCGACGGAATTGAAGACGTAACAAAAAAGTCTAAGAAAAATAAAGCAAATAGAAAAAAGGGTCTGGAAAGCAATAAACAGTGTGAGTGAGTCAGGGGATGCTCTCAGGCTGTCCACCATTCAGGTAATTAGGGTCCCAGGGGAAAGGAGAGAGGAGAGCAGAAAAAATTCCAAATTTCATGAAAAACATGATCACAAAGATCCAAGATCAATCAGCACACAGCAAGTTAAACTGAAAGAAAACCAAACCAAGGTCATCATAATCAAATTCCTGAAAACCAGTGATAAAGAAAACATCTTAAGTAGCCAGAGGGAAAGACATATTGCACAGAGAGAAACAAGGATAGGACATCACAGACTTCTGATTAGAAGCTCTACCAGCTACAATACAATGAGAAGGCATATTTACAGCGCTGAAAAACTGTGAAACTAAAATTCCATATGGCAAGAAAAAAGCCCTTTCAAAATGAAGATGAAATAAAAACATTGTCAGTTGGGCATGACGGCTCACAGCTGTAATCCCAGGGCGGGAGGATTGCTTGAGTTTAGGAGTCTAAGACCAGCCTGGGCAACAAAGTGTGACCCTGTCCCTACAAAAACTTAAAAAATTAGCTTGGCATGGTGGTGTGTGCCTGTAGTCCCAGCTACTTGGGAGGCTGAGCAGGGAGGATTGCTTCAGCCCAGAAGGTCAAGGCTGCCACGCCTTACGACTGCGCCACTGCACTCTAGCCTGCGTAACAGAGAGAGAGAACTTATCTCTCTCTTTGAAAAAAAGTAAATAAAAAGCAAAACAACAAAGAAAGACATTTTTCAGACAAAAGCAGAAGGAATTTCTTGTCAGAAGACCAGCACTATAAGAAAATCATCTACAGAATCATAGGAAATCTACAAATGTACTAGACCTAATAAATGAGTTTAGCAAGGCCCCATACAAAGCCAATTCCTGTCAACTAAAAACTACTGGAAACTGAAATTAAAAAAATCCATTTACAATAGTATCAAATACATGAAAGAGTGATGTATTTATCAATGTATATTTAAGTACTTCACATTAACACTGGTAACACATTACCATGAAACATGAACGGAAACCCAAATAAATGGAGAGATATACCATATTCATGAATCAGAAGGCTCAACATTCTTAAGACGTTAATTCTTCCCACATTGTTCTGTATATTTAATGCAATTTCAGTCAAAATCCTAGCAGACTTTTTTTCTGGTAGCAATTCATGGAGTGATTCTGAAATTTATTTGAAAATAAAAGCAGTAACATTTTTGAAAAAGAGGAAAGAAACCAGAGGTAATTTATACTACCTGATTTCAAGATCTACTATCTATCTGCAGTAGTCAAGGCAGTGTGCTATTGTTTTAAGACATGTAAATTCACACAATAGGATATGGAGTCCAGAAAAAGACTCACACATATACGGCCTACTGATTTTCCACAAAGGGGTCCTGGTTATTCAGTGGGAGGAAAGATTGTCTTTTCAACAAATGGTGCTAGAGCAAATGAATATCTGTAGAGAGAAAACACACCTCAGTTTTTTCTCCTCTGCTTGGGTGGGTTGGACTTAGTGGCTTGCTTCCAAAGAAGGGCAGGGAAGGAGACAACAGTGACTGCAGTGTAGAAGGCGGTGGGGTCACACGGCTGTCATGCGCCCTACACACTCCTTCTAAAACCCACCACACCCAGGCTGCTCATGAGAGAAACATCAGGTAAACCCAGACTAGGGAACACTCTACAGGCTCTTCCATCCACCCTTAGGTAAGATGGTTAAGTATGGGTTTAACTGTATAAGAAAGTTGGTAAGGTCAAACGTATCTTAGGTATTTATCCAAGAGAAATAAAATATATAAAAAATATATGTTTCCACCAGTACGTGTGCTTTAATGCTCACAGCAGCCTTATTCATAAAAGCCCAGAGACTGGAAAGGACTCAAATATCCATCCACAGTGAATGGAAGATGTGCTGTGGTACAGCCCACGCCATGGGATATCACTTAGTAATAAAAAGCAATGAACTGTCTGTACTCACTACACATGGATGGGTCTCAAGAACATTATGATGAGTCAAAAAAAAAAAAATAATACATGTACCATGTAATTTCTTTTATATGAAACTCTCGAAAAGACAAACCTCATGGACCATGCCAGAAAGCAGGTCGGCTGTGGCCTGAGACACACTGGGAGGGGCATGAGAGAGCTTTTCTAGGTGGTGCAAACGTCTTGATTTTGGTGATGGTTACAAGCGTGTACACATTTTTCAAAATGCATCAGAATAGGCACTTACATGGCATTTTATTATGTGTAAGTCATACATAAATAAAAGTGATAAAATCAAATGGAAAAGGGATTCTAGCCTGGGTGTGGTGGCTCACGCCTGTAGTCCCAGCACTTTGGGAGGCCAAGGCGGGTGGGTCACCTGAGGTCAGGAGTTCAAGACCAGCCTGGCTAACATGGTGAAACCCTGTCTCTACTAAAAATACAAAAAAATTAGCCAGGTGTGCTGGTGGGCACCTCTAATCCCAGCTACTTGGGAGGCTGAGGCAGGAGAATCACTTGAACTTGGGAGGTGGAGGTTGCAGTGGGCCAAGATCACACCACTGCACTCCACCCCTGGGCATGGAGCCAGAATCCATCTCAAAAAAAATAAAACAAAAAATAAAGCAAGAAAGCAAGAAAGGAAAGAAAGAAAGAAAGGAAGGATTCTAACACAGCAGGACAAGCGACTGTATGAGGCACCCCAAGGCATCCCAAGGGCCACAAACGCCTGCCTTGGCAGCTCACAGTGGAGCGGGGAGGACAGGTGCTGGGCCAGGAAGAGCAGGGTGCATGCCGTCCTGCACCTGCAAAGTCCCTGGGATGGGGACTGGGGGTTGTCACGGCAGAGCCCTTATAGTAGTACAAAGAGTAGTCCAAGGTTTCGGATTCTGCAGTGGTATCAAGCTTCAAATGCAGATTCAAATGTTTAACTAACATACAGTTAAATGCTTCAAATGAATGCTTCACTAATATATATTTCAAATGCTTAGGTTCAAATGGTTAACCAATACATATTTTGTCACAGAGGCAGGCTCAAGATTTCTTTTTCCTTCTTTGAATTTAAAAAATGACATCGGGGCCTTACCAGAGAGTTGCTTGATGGCCACAGGTCTCACTTTGTAGGGAGTGCTGCAAAAGAGAAGACAGTGTCGCTGTGAGATGCCGCAAGGCGCTTGCCGTACGTCTGGCAGGAGAGATAAGCACTCCGCGTGATTAGAATTCAATGGATTAGGTGCTTTTTTTTCTTTTTTTTTCCTTTTTGAAATTAGCTTCTTTGACTGTTCTCAGCTTCCTCACTCAGATGAATTCTAAGTATATCATTTAAACGATCAACTTCCTCTATGTTGATGTTTGGTCAATTAAACACATTTTGTCATGGGTACTACCGCCAGTCACAGGTGCCGAATTGAGCTGGAAAGGGTAGACTCTGGTAGAACTGCCTGGACCCATCCCAGCACCAGTGGACACAGGTGGGCTCCCTCCCTCTCTTTTGCTCTGTTAAGCTCATGGCGACTGTATCCCCGAATGAACAAGAGAGGATGGTGACAAAGTCCAAAATGCACTGGGATCTCCGTGATGTCACCCCCATAGTCATGAGGCCCAGAGTGGACGGGTAGAGAATACTGTGCATATGACAGACGAAATGTTTCTGTCATTGACACATAACGGCCTCTGGCCAGGGGCAGGAACAGACAGTGCAGCCAATGGAACGGGCGTAGACCAGGAACAGGCAGTGGCCAAGAGGGGTAATAAATCCACGCATGGGAGGCTAGCCCCAGAGAGATGCTATTCCTTTACCCAGCAGTTTAGCAAAATTTGGAAACCTGGTAAGAGAACGACTGCAAGGCCACAGAGTGGCAGACGTCACAGGTGCTGCTGGCGGGTATGGGTTGCCACATCTTGGGGAAAGCAGTCTAGCAACCCGGGTTAAAATCCTGTGTCTCGGCAGATGAATTTAGCGAGAAATGTATCAGAATGAAATACGAGCACACAGGGAGACGGTCAGACGTCATGTGTTCATGCCAATGGCTTCATTCATTCATTCATTCTACACAGTTTTCCTGAATGCCTGCTGTGGTCAGGTGGCTGGTGGCTTGAAAGAGCATGGTTTAGTCTGGGCATCTCTCCACAGGCAGGATGACACATTAGTGGTCCCATGGTGCTAGGGTCTGAATGTTGAGGCACTCCCCAACCCCAGATTCATATAACGAAGCCCTCATCCCCAGTGGGATAAGCTTGGGAGGTGGGGTCCACATGATGGGATTGGCGCCCTTACAAGGGGTGAAGGCACCAGAGCTGTCGCTTGCTCTGCCACGAGGGCACGGCCAGAAGGCAGCAGTCTGCAAGCCGGGAAGAGAGGCCTCCCCAGGAACAGAATCTGCCCACACCCTGATCTTGAACTTCAGCCTCCAGACTGTGAGGCGTCAATGTCTAGCTGTTTAAGTTAGGACGGACTGAGACACTGGGGTGCCAGGCAGTTGTCGAGAAGATGAAGACAGGTGTGCAGGTGTTGACCTGGTGGGGCGCCTGTGACTCCTCACTATGTAAAAACAGGTCACGGAGTGACACATAGAGAACGAGCTCATTTCTGGAGGAAACGAATACGGAGCACAGTGAATACGGAGGGTACACACGCCAAGCTGTTAACGGTGATTAATCGGGGGCAATACCTGTGGTTTGATGGTTACAGCCAACATGCAAAATCTTTACAATTTTAAACACCAATAAAGTGAAAAAACAAAACCTGTGTGGCACTGACCTCCCTGAGCTTTGGGCTCTGTCTGTAGGGGAGTGAGGCTGAGGCTCCCAGGAGAGCTGGGCACTGTGGACTTGCCAGCTGAGCCTCAGTGTTGGGGATCAGAGGGACCTCACCCTGCAAATGACCCCGTTCACACAGAACGTCAACGAGTGAGCCCACACCCTCTCATCTCCCACCATGTCACTGGTTGGGCTCACGAGAGGCCCTGCCTGGAAAGGCCTTTTAGTGGTGGGTCATTTGACACTGGAGGGCTCATTTCTCCCCAGAGACTTGGTCATAAGAATTGCTGGGCATGAAGAGTGGCCCTAAGAACAAGGCAGAGTCCTCCAAGCTCCCAGGTGGAGAGGGCACGGGGTGGGCACCGGGACTGGGGCCCCTCCAGCCCCTGACACCTGTGCTCAGCTGGGCAAGTCCACGGTGCCTGGCTCTTCCAGGAATCTCAGCCTCACTGCCTTACAGACCCAGGGTCCAAGGCGTAGAGAGGCAGGTGCTTTGCCGACAGCCTCAGTGTGGCCAGTGAGGACCTGTGCCACGGCTGCCTAGGAGGGGTCTGGGCTGGGAGGACAGAGTGGAGGGCGGACAGCAGAGAAGCCGGGTGTGCTGGCCTCCTCTTGGATCCTCCTTCCTTCCTCTTCTCAGTGTCTCTCTGGCCCCTGCCATGAGCAGCCCTTGAGATGGGGCAATGGGTGGAGAGGACTCCAGGACCCGTGTGGGCAGCAGGAAGGGGCTGTCCCATCCCTCCTCCCATCCCTGGCTCCCCACTCCTCTCGGTCTTTCTTCTTCTGCGCCTCCTCTGAGGTGCAGCAAGGACTCTTTTCCTCCTTCCCCTGCCCCTTGACCCTAGAAGATCAGTGCTGGAGGCAGGGGGTGGGGTGGGGTGGCGGGCCAGGTAAGTGACCAGGAGCAGAGAAGGGCTCCAGGAGGCAGGGTGAGGGCTGGAGGGAGAACAGCATGGATTCCACACGGTGCCAGCGGGGACAGAGCCCAAAGGGGTGGCCAGCAACTTCTCCTATGCAGGAGATTCAGAGGGAGACGCCCTGGGGAACTGACACAAAGATAGGCTTACCAAGACACCCTCCCATCGTGCCGGGGCACTGCACTTGCTCATCCACCCAAATGGAGCCCAGCCCCCTTCAAGCCCATTCAGCGTATTCAGAGGCCAACCTCTCTGTGGAGTCTGGTGAGCTGAGGGTGGGAACCATCACATCAGCAACAGAGGGAAATGTGGATGGACAGGGAGCCTCTGTGATGCTCCAGGAGGCTGCAGAAGCCTTCCTGGCTCTCTTGGCCACTCAAGATCAGTCTGGCTCCCAGATGCTGAGTGCTTTGGTTCCTCAGGTCCGGTTATGTTGGTCCCATGGATGAGTAACCTCTTGGCTCAGTCTCAGTGGAGCTGAATCTTCATCATGCTCTTCGACAGCAAATCAACACAGGAAGCACTCCCTCTTTGGAAGGGATAAGCTTGCCTTGGGCTTCTACTGTATTTGTCTTTTGCTAAGGTCTAACTGCCTGGGCTCTAAGACCTCTTTTAAAAACATTTAAGAGGAGGAGGAGGGGCCTGGAGCCACTCTGGAATGTGGAAAGCTTTTCTCTAAGCCGGAGTGGCCGACAACGCTGGTCTTGCAAGCATGGGGCTCATCTGGAGGAGAGCCGCCCACGGCACAACTTGGCGGAAACTGGAGACAAAAGGGGCAATGGTGTGTGTCACACAACGCCGTCTTTGGCCCTCTCCCCTGTGTATGTGTCTTGCTACGCACCCCACTCTCACTCACGTGACTGAGGCGTCTGACATTCTTCCACTGCATCTTGAAGCAGCAGTGACCAGGCAATGGAAGGGGCAGGGCTGTCACGAAGCAACGCCCATGTTGGCCGACGTCAGCCTCTCCGGAATGCTCCGGGATTGGAAAGGCAAATGACTCCAGATGGCTCAGGGTTGCTCCAAGGAGGAATGCTGGAGCCTTGTTTGATCTCAGTTGGGCCATGGCTATTTATATTTGTTGGTCTTTAGGTTGTTTAGTCATCAATTATCTTTCCTGCCAGCTCCAAAAGCGAGTGGAAGCCAATCAGCCTATTGTTCCGTGAGGTACACGTGTTCCAGGTTATTTCAAGTGCCAGCTTCAGCGCCCTCCACATTACACCAAACGTCCAGGAGCGCAGGAAGGGCCAGGCAGCCGTCAGCGGACCCCCAGCCACGGGAGGGGCCTTTGGATTTGGGGGAGGGCGGGAAGCCTGGCAGTGTGCAGAAGGGGGAAGGTGCTTGGAGGTTTGCAGAAGGGGAGTGTCCCGCTGGGCTGGGGTGGGCACTCACGCAGCTCAGCAAATTGGAGACAAGTACATTATGATGGATTGGGGCAGACATCCCAATGCGGGGGGCTGGACAGTGTCCTGTGGCTAAGAGGTCACTGGAGGACTCCATGCCGGGAGCGATGGGAGGCAAGAGGGTTTGGAGCCTGTTATTCTGGAAGGTAGCAGGACTCAAGGGGGAGATAACTGTGAGGGGTAACAGGAGGCGGAAACCGGGAGGCCCACCCGTGGGATGTGGTCCCCACCGGGGCCGGCTGCCAAAATCTAAAAGATGGCATTAAGGCAAGAAGTGTTTTGAAAGAATAATCCAGTGGCACACTTTGGTTTGGAATGAGAGGCCGAGAAGGAGTTAGAGATTTAAGCTCTAAGAGACCAGGCAACTGGGATCACCCCTTCTGATCAGGATGGAGGCGGTCTCTCAAGAGCCCTTGGAATTTGGAGATTTCATGAAACGCCCTCCCTGTGGCTGGGAAACTGGGAAGTATCTGAGCATGCTAGATGCAACCAGCCATGTGCAGGGAAGCCCCCTCCAAAGACATGGTTCCTGGGCTGGGGGACAATGAGAGGACCAAGTCCACACCAAGTCACTGCAGGTGTCTGCAGAAGCAGAGGAAGTTAGAGAGAGACACCACCCAACCAACCAACCAAGCAAGCAAGCAGCCGCTGACGTGGCTTCTGAGCTAGAGGGAGGGGGCTGCCGTCTGCCAGGAAGAAGCAAAGAGTTACCCCGCGTGTTTCAGAGAGGGGAGGCCCTGGGTCTGGCAGACATGAGTTTCTGGTCACCAGAGGGCTGGGTCTAGAGTGGTTGCTTAGGTTTTCCAGGCCTTACATCAGCGGTTCATCCCCAGGCTGCGTGCTGGAATCACTTGCAGAGCTTTTCAAAAAGTCTTGTGCGCAGTGGCTCACGCCTGTAATCCCAGAACTTTGGGAGGCTGAGGCAGGTGGATCCTGAGGTCAGGAGTTCAAGACCAGCCTGACCAACATGGTGAAACCCCGTCTCTACTAGAAATACAAAAACTAGCCGGGCATGGTGGTGCATGCCTGTGATCCCAGCTACTCAGAAGGCTGAGGCCAGAGAATCGCTTGAACCTGGGCGGTGGAGGGTGCAGTGAGCTGAGATCAGGCCACTGTACTCCGGCCCGGGTGCCAGAGTGAGACCCCATCTCAAAAAAAAAATCTTGTAGAAATCTGGACTTAATCGGAGGTGTCTGGGCATCAAGCGGTACCTTTTTAAAGATTTCTGGGTGGTTGCAATCTGCAGCCAGGGTGGAAAGCCACTCTTTAGCTGAACCAGTTCACAGGGAGTGGCTGGAATAAGCGCAGACGTGTGTGCTGAGGATGCCTGAAAGCCCAAGTGCACGGATGCGTCTCTCTCTCGGACACTCTCTCTGGAGTTCAGGCACCTGCATGGAACCCGGGGCAGTGAATTACAGTGATGGGGCTGGTGACTCTGGACCGTCACAGCGATGGGGCTGGCGGCTTTGGACCGTCACAGTGATGGGGCTGGCGACTATGGATCGTCACAGCGATGGGGCTGGCGGCTTTGGACCGTCACAGCGATGGGGCTGGCGGCTTTGGACCGTCACAGCGATGGGGCTGGCGGCTTTGGACCGTCACAGCGATGACCGTCACAGTGATGGGGCTGGCGGCTTTGGACAGTCACAGTGATGGGGCTGGCGGCTTTGGACCGTCACAGTGATGGGGCTGGCGGCT